TTTTATTTGTATTACGTTTATTAAAAATGTATCAAGATGTTTCTTCAGAATTTGGCCCACACACATACATACATACATACATACCATACATAAATACACACACACACACATACATATATATATATATATATATATATATATATATATATATATATATATATATATATATATATATATATATATATATATATATATATAAATGCAAATGAAAGAAACAAATTGTTCAAGTATCAGGGAACATCCTAATACACTTAAAATGTTGTTTAAAAAATAAAACAAAATAGTGATGTAGACATTGACACATTAGCTTTCTCTTCTTTCTTCCTCCATCCCTGTCAGGGGCAAGTTGTAGCTACCTTGTAATGCATTTTTCCACTTCTTTATCAGTGGCGTGGTATGGACATTTGTCCTCACTCCATCTGTGATTAAAAGATAAACAGATAATTAGTAGTGAACAAGTACTAATGTAAAAAAAAAGAAAAAATTAGGAAAAAAGTAGGCTACCTACGAAGCAAAAAAAAAAACAATTAAAAAAAACAAATTAACCTTAAACACTTTGAAATTAGCAAGAGCTTGAACTTACCAGTTTCTTCATTTGTTCGGGCTGCTCCTTTAGTTGATTTTCAAGCTTTTCCAAATCAAATTGGCCAAAGGAAGGTCAAATGTGTTTACATCTGGAATTTCATCACGTCTGTTTTGGTTTTGTGAGAATCAGGCCCAGCTGCTGCTTTATGACGTTGCATGATTTTAAAACTTCAGTCAGTCGTGCTAAAAAAGAAAAATAACAGATTAGTATAAATCAACCTGTAGCTTATTCTCATACAACTTCTGTAAATACAACAGTGGGTTAGACACTGCTGATATTCTCTAGTTGATCTTTACTTTCTAGCTGCATTAAACCTTAACAAATTTAGTGATGTCTTCAATTCTTACAAAGACATCACGAGATGCAATAAGTTCTGTCTTGATCTCAAACTGCACTAGAACAAAGCCTGTAAATGTTCATAGGTGTACTGCAGGAGTGTCCAAACTTTTTGGGCCGAGGGCCAGATGCAAAAAAACAAACGTTGTCGCGGGCCAAATTTTACATACATCACACAGACACGTGTATATAAATATATATATATATATATATATATATATATATATATATATATATATATATATATATATATATATATATATACAGTTGAAGTCAGAATTGTTAGCCCCCCTAAATTATTAGCCACCGTTTATTTTTTCCCCAATTTCTGTTTAACGGAGAGTTAAACATTTTTTCCACACATTTCTAAACATATTAGTTTTAGTAACTCATTTCTAATAACTGATTTATTTTATCTTTGCCATGATGACAGTAAATAATATTTGACTAGATATTTTTAAGACACTTCTATACAGCTTAAAGTGACATTTAAAGGCTTAACTAGGTTAATCAAGTTAACTAGTCAAGTTAAGGTAATTAGGCAAGTTATTTTATAACAATGGTTTGTTCTGAAGACTTAAGGGGCTAATAATTTTGACCTTAAAATGGTTCATAAAAAAAATTCAACCGCTTTTTATTCTAGCCGAAATAAAACATAAGTCTTTCTCCAAAAGAAAAAATATTATCAGACATATGGTAAAAATGTCCTTGCTCTGTTAAACATCATTTGGGAAATATTTAAAAAAGAAGAAATAAATCAATGAGGGGCTAATAATTCAGACTTCAACTGTGTGTAGATAGATAGATAGACAGACAGACAGACAGACACAGACAGACAGACAGACAGACAGACAGACAGACAGACAGACAGACAGACAGACAGACAGACAGACAGACAGACAGACAGACAGACAGACAGACAGATAGATAGATAGATAGATAGATAGATAGATAGATAGATAGATAGATAGATAGATAGATAGATAGATAGATCATAACAAGAACTGCTGCTTAATTGAATGCATGTAATAGCGACACCCGGTGGTTATTTATTGAATTACGTTCATTTTTATATAGCGGATTCTATTGATATTTATAAAAACGGCCCGCGGGCCGTAGTTTGGACACGCCTGGTGTACTGGAATGTACAGTATCTGTGCATCTTGATGGTGGTCTTAAGATTTCTGCCATAGTCATTGATGGTGATGGTACTTGTGGTGCTGCATTGATTTCTGAAATCTTCATACCTGCCTTTTATCCAGCCTCTTTGTTCCAAGTAATTTTTCTTCATCATGGTATAGATGTGTCTATACTGTCCCTTAATCAGATACATTTACAAAACAAAACATCACTTTAGTATAGTGCCAGGGCAAAACCCACAGGTTGTAATAGATCAATGACATAATGTTGACAGTATGTGTTTAAAATAATTGCAAACAAACCTTTAGATGTATGACAGTCATCGTCCTCATCTGTCTACCAGTCAGAAATCACAGTTGCGTGTGGATATTTCAGTCGAGCTTCTTCATATGCATCTATAATAAAACATCGCATTGTTGTTAACCTCCCGTAAAGAAAAGTTCAAATCCTGAAATACTATCAAAGTTAATTAATGCATATAATACATATAATGCATATAATGTTATAGTGTAAATAATCAGTACACAGAAGGTTGCACAAGATTTATTCAGAGATTCATGCAGAGTGACAGCCTTATGAATCTGAGACATAGATTTGTAAGATGGTCAAGCACATGCATTATTCTGTACCCATGAAGATTAACCTACCATTGTGAAAAATGTTTGATGATGATAGCCAATAACAATAAACCATTTCAGCTGTTTGTGAAGCAATTAGTAATGTAATGTCTGAAAAGCTCAATCTATGTTGAAAATGTATCAGCAGTTTACAGCTTATGGACTTTTAGCACACAACTATAGCATGCCTATTCACGTTCAAAAGAGTGTGCCATTGACTGCTTTGGTCGTGATGTGCTGCAAAATGATCTCACTAACCTTTGTTAAACAAGAACAATAAGACTTAACCAACAAATATTGTTACCCATTCATTTAAATCAGAATTTATCACTGTCAATAACATAAAAAAATAAAAAAAAACATCAAAATCTGCTTTAAGACGTTCAGTTTTACATTAACTGATCATTACAGCTTGAACAAAAGATATAATTGATTCACAGAGGCTAACACATATGAATTAAAGTGCATAGTAATATATTTCTCTTGGATAATTTAAAGAGAATAGTAAACAGTCGAGTTTCGATCATTTTCGTGACTAACTGCATAAACAAGATAAACAATATTTTATTAATCCAAAACGATTAGTTTTTATTTACACACAATCACAGAATTAATACTGTTGGATAAGTATACGCCTGTACAATGATTTTTTTCAACATCCACGGTACTTTATAATGTTAAATCAGGAAAAAAACACGTTTTGCCAAGTTAGTTAATGGATTCGTCTACAGAAACTTTCTTTAACGCAAAGTTAGCATACACACAAATTCGTTTCATGTTTCTTTAAAATAATTAAAATAGTTTTCAGTTACTACACACGTTACAATCTAACATTGTGTAAAAGGAAAAGGAACTTTCAGACGTGTTTGTAACTGTTAGCGTTAGCATACATTAGCTCCAGTCGTGTTTCTTAAAGCAAGTTACATTTCGTATCAAACTGTTTTAAATTACTAAACGCTGTTACAACCAAACACAGTGGAAATGTTTTAAGCTCTAAATTCGCTAATTTTACAGAACACAAGCAGTAAAAAGCTTACCTTTCTGACCGGAATCCACGTGAGTCTTTGAAAAACCAAACTTTTTCTTCTTGTGATCTTTGTGCCATGGTGGTTGACAACCAGCTTTTTGGAGCATTACCGCCACCGTCTGGATTGGAGTTTGGATCAGGAGTTTAGTAACGCATGAGTTTATTATGAAACCAACTTCTGCTTTAAAAAAAAAAAAACAGTCAGCACAGGAGCGTGCTATCTCAAAAATAAGCGAATTTTACATGTGACATGTATAATCTATTTATAAATAATATTGTTTTGTTTGCGTCTAAACATTGACCATCCACACTATATTCTTTTTTTTTTTTTTTTTTGCTATTGTACCATGAATATTTTCTCAAATTATCATTAAACGTGGAGCTAACAGATTACTAGATAAAATAAGAACTTAATCGGTTGCCATCAGCTGAGTCCTTGCAAGAAGCGGCCAGGATATGGTTGACCGGAATCGGGCCAGTGCTTTACAGCCGCATCACAACCGCATGTGCGCGAGCGGGCTGCGGGCCGCACTCGGCCCGGATAACACTCGCCGATGCCGAGTCGGAGCCGGAGGCGCCGGGGGGCAGCCGAGCTCGGGCCGATTACTGCCTGCTATCTGGGGTAAAGGTTGTTATATTTAATCAGTTATTTAAAGAACTTCAGGTCTTTAAAAAGTAAGTTTATAATGATTTATTTAATTGAAAAGATTATTGACAGCAATGTTTAATCGTCGACTGCACGTGGATCTCTGCATGTGACGTCACTATTAATTTCTCTCCCTCCGACTGTCGGCTTCATCAACCAGCTGCTAAGCAGGTAAGTTTATAAATGTTTATGTTTTCGGTTATTTTTGCAGGACTGTCAAAATCATTGTGGATTCATTAACAAAAGTCAATCATTAGGTTTCTGAGATCATTAATCAGATTATCCAGCATTTTCTTTTGAAAAGCAAAATCGTTATAACGATAGGTCGACTAGCCACTCCACAAGTCTGTTATCTAAGGCAGTATAATGTTAAACACACAGTATATCTTGTAAAACTCCACAATCCATTAAGTTGAATAATTTTCATCTATGTTGGTGTTAGTTTTATACTATTGAGGAACTCATGGACGCGTTAAAATTAGCATTTTTTTAAATAGCAATCTAAATATAGCCTAATAACATCAGTATGTATAGCTACACACAAACTTAAATATGTGGTTAATGAGGACTCTCCATAGACATACTGATCTATGCTGTACAAATTGCATATTTTATATACAATCATAAACAAGCAATGGGATAATTGTGACGATCGTCATTAGAATTTTCCTTATTATTGTATGAGTGACGTCTGATTGGGTTACTGCTGTCAGCTGATGCAACATTATTTAGAGCGCCTTGGATGGGTTTCTCGCTCTCTCTCATTCATTCCTTATCACGCAGTCAGCATGCAGGTGATTCCGGGTCACTGAGAGGTCATGCTGACGGAGTGTGTGTGTGTTGAGAGCGCACTGCGTACTTGTTGCTTTGAGTCCGTTTTTTGTAGCTCAATATGTGTTTTCGTGCTGCGTGGTCTTGCTCTGAGGTAGTGGCAGTGTTCTTTGAAGTTGGTCACGGCATCGAAAGTGCGAGTATGTTTTTGATGCGGACGTTGAAGCGGCAACATTTATGAATGGAAGAGTTTATGATTTTGGCGGAGGTTGTATTTGCGATGCATGGTGAACGTATTATGCGCTCGGGTTTGTTTGTGGAGTGAGGCGCGGGTTTATTTTGTTTTTTGGCGCTCGAGTTGCCTATTTGTTTTGGGTTTTTTCTTTCTTTTTGTTTGAATGTTTGATCACTATCGTGATCGGGATTTGTGTTGCTGTTTTCTGGGCCCAGTAGCATCGACGGGTGATCGGGTAAGCAAATGTTTCTTCTTTGATTTATATTGTTTTGGTTAACTTGTATATGTGTATGTATGTCCAAAAGATTTAATGAGATGGTAGAGTAACCATATGAATGTGCATTGCGTTCACGATTGCTTCAACGTGCACAAATGGAAAATCTACTTTAGCGTATACGAATTGAGAGACATTTCAAGTGCATTGATTACCCGTTTACTTCAGCGTGCACAAATGGAAAATCTACTTTAGCGTTTACGAACTGAGAGACATTTCAGAGTGCATTAATTACCCGATTACTTCAGCGTGCACAAATGGAAAATCTACTTTAGCGTATACGAACTAAGAGACATTTCAAGTGCATTGAATGTGCAATTGATTCAGCGTGCACAAATGGAATATCTACTATGTGTAAAGTGTACAACTGAGTTCTATAAGTTCTTGAATGTGTGATTGATTTGATTTGAACTTGAAATATTATGTTTGTGGGAATTTGATTAATATTGGTTGTTGTATATTTAGAAGTGGTTTATTTGATTTATTTCTTTATGGTTGGTTGATGTATCACCCGTTGATGGTTTTGTTTGTAAAAGGTAATTAAAAGGTATTGTGCCTGGGCCTGGAAATTTAAGTTTGTTTGGTTTATAGATTTACTTACAATGTGTTGAAGTTAAAGTTTGTTCTTTTTGTTTTCTTCTTTATTAATTCATTGATCTGTTGCATGATTGAATATCTGATTTGGTTTTTATTAAATCATGCATCTGTTGAAACTTAAATTTTCATTTAATTGAATTATTTAAGAAACTGTAGTGGGGTCTTTCAACCCCTGGCGCCCAACCCACTTTATTAGCCAAATACCGCTACAGATTTGGCGCCCAACGTGGGGCCCTGAGATATGCTAAATATTTAGTGGTTTTTGTAATTTTTGCTTAATAATGGAAGCTGAAAACTTTCTTATTAATTTTCCTGATGCAGCAGAAGGTAGTTGTGAGGGCCCATCTCATAACAGTCCTGTTACTCCACAGATTGACCGATCATTATTAGATGAGGACACTGGGATGGAACAGCCATTTATTGGGGCTCCGATCCTCTCCTCTGAAAGTCGGACAGACGATTTAGCAGTTTTAGTCCAGGCAATTAATTCTCTTAAAAGTGTATTCGTAGATACAGTAGACCGGCAGAAAAAATGGCTTCAGGACAGTACTGAACTTTGTACTCATGAAGTTCCTAAGAAAACATTAACTGTGGTTGAAAAAGCACATTCTGAATTTTTAGACGTTCTTTCTGACCGTATGAAAGAGTTTACTAAACATACAATTGAAGCTATACAGTGGAACTCGAAACAGACACACAATGAATTTAAGGCAATGTTTGATGAGGCTAACTCTTCAATGTTTTCTTCCTTTAAGAGAGCTTTGGAAGAATCTAGGGTAGGAGAAAAAACATTACAGGAAGAAGTATGCAGCTTGAGGAAGGAGCTACTTGCCATGCAAACTTCGCTTGATTCCTTTATGCAGCAGAGGATCTCACTTGACACCAAAGTAGATGAAAAGGTTCATGTTTCTGGGTCTCAGGTATGTTCAAATACATCTTCACATGTAGACTCTAGTGAGTCCATTAGTCAACCTGCTCTTTCAAATTTGGCTTGTGGGCGTATTCCGCCTATTAAAATGGTATTTCCTACATTTGGAGGAGTAAATGATGAGTCTGATCCTGTTATTTATTTGGAGAGATGTAATGACTTCTTAGCTCTAAGACCAATGTCAAACAGTGAGATACTTGCCACCATGCGTAGTGTTCTGCATGCCTCAGCCCGAGATTGGTGGGAGACTGTAAGATTTAAAATTAATTCTTGGGAAGGTTTTCAGAAGGCTTTTTTAGCGGTTTTCCTCCCAGAGGATTATCAGGATGTGCTCGAAGAAAAAGTGCGTAATCGACTGCAAGGGACAAATGAAAGTGTTCGAGACTTTGCTTTTTCATTTCAAGCTTTATTTAAACGCTGGAAAAAAGAAGCTACTGATACTGAAGTTTTGAAAGCTCTTTTAAAAGCGATGAATCCTTGTTATGCTAGTCAACTTCGTGGCCGTGCACAGACTGTAGAGGAACTGGTGAGATTAGGAACACAATTAGAGAGAGATTATGATCATCAAATAAAGTACAATCAGTTACAGTTACCTAAGAGTTCTTTTCTTGACCAGCATTTGTCTAAAAAATCAAAAGGGGTAGAAGTAAAATCAAACTTACCTCCAGAACAAAGTTTGACTAGTTTGCTTTGTTGGCGATGTCATGAAAATCATTCCCCAGGTTCTTGTTCCAAGTTTAAGGCTGTCCTGAGTGGAAAGCAAACTGGTGGACAATTTCAAGGAACTAAAGAGTTCCAACCTCAAAATCAGCAACGAGGTATGCTGTCTGCTTATGATACTCAGCGCTTTGTAAAAAAAGATGTGTCATCTGGTAGGAAGCTGGATAAGAGAGATGGTATTAAAATTCTTCGTCAGTTGGTTATCCCCATGATGGTTCGGAACTGTAGTGGTAAAGCACTTGTTGATACAGGAGCTACTTATACATTGCTCAACGTCGATTTATGGAATAAGATAAAAGAACCCAATGAGCGACTAGATGTATGGCATGAGGGACCACTTTATCTAGCTAATGGCGATGCTACTGTTCCTCTTGGCCAAAAAGTACTGGACTTCTATTTGCAGGATTTGCATTTCCAAGTTCCAACTGTAGTTCTGCCAGCTCAGAACCTTGTGTATTCAATGGTTTTGGGTTTAGATTTTATCGCACTGACTGGGTTGCAACTGAACATTAAAGATCAACTGTACAGTTTTTCAGATGATCCACAAGGTCGGGTTTTCCCTTTCCAACCGCCTATTACACCAGGGGACTCTTGGAAGTGTTGTAAACCACCTGGTAACTATAATCCATCTGCTTCTTTGTATTCTGCTATACCTCCTGTTCAGTTTGTATGTACAGCAAACGAATGTGTGGATAAGAGTGATGTGGGAGAGTCTGGTTCTGTATTGATGGAGCTTTTGCAAAGTAAAATCAAGGAGAGCAATCTTTCAGAACGTGAGTCTCATGTTCTGTTTACTCTTTTGTATGACCATCCTGATGTTTGTACTCCTAATTTGGGTAGAACCCATCTTGTCCAGCATAAGATTGCGGTTTCAACAGATGTTGTTGTAGCTCAAAAACCATACAGGCTACCCATACACAAAAAGGAGATTGTAAAGGAACAAATTGATGATATGCTCAATCAAGATATCATCCAGCCATCTCATTCACCCTGGGCATCTCCTATTGTGTTAGTTCCTAAAAAAGATGGAGGGCAGAGATTTTGTGTTGATTATCGTAAACTGAATGCAGTCAGTGAAAGCGACGCATTTCCTCTTCCCACAGTGAATGAGATCTTGGAGTCCCTTTCTGGGTCAGGGATATTTAGTACTCTGGATTTAAATAGTGGATATTGGCAGGTGTCCATGCATCCAGATAGTATGGCCAAGACCGCTTTCGTCTCACCTTTTGGCCTATATGAGTTTAAGGTGTTACCTTTTGGCCTGAAAAATGCACCGGCCACATTTCAAAGGCTTATGAATAGAGTCTTGGCTGACTATCTGGGGCAGTGTTGTTTAGTGTATCTAGATGACATAGTTGTCTATTCGGCTAACTTTCACCAACATGTCCTAGACCTCCAGAAAGTTTTGAGATGTTTGCAGAGAGCAGGACTAACTCTCAAACTTCCAAAATGTCATTTCTGTTTAACAGAGATCAAGTTTCTTGGCCATATTGTGACTACTGATGGTGTAAAGGCAGACCCTGCTAAAACAGAAGCTATTCAGAATTTTCCAGTCCCAACAAATTTAAAGGAACTCCAACGGTTTCTGGGAATGAGTGGGTGGTACCATAGGTACGTTCAAAATTTTTCAGATATTGCCGAACCACTTAATGCTCTAAAGAAGAAAGGAGTTCGTTTTCAGTGGACAGCTGAGTGCCAGGTAGCGTTTGACTGCCTCAAAAGGCATCTTTCCTCACCACCTGTACTTGGACACCCAAATCATGCCCATACATTTGTAGTTTATACTGATGCCAGTTCAACCGGCTTGGGTGCTGTTCTTGCTCAACGACCCTCCACTTTTGGTGCATCTGAGGAGGTGTTGGCGTATGCTAGCCGTACTCTGACATCAGCAGAGAAAAACTATTCTACAACTGAGCGGGAGTGTTTAGCAGTGGTTTGGGCTGTAGAACGGTGGCGGCATTATTTGGAGGGAAAATCCTTCATTGTAGTCACTGATCATGCTTCTCTTCTTTGGGTGTTCAACACTACAAAAACAAATTCCCGACTGATTCGCTGGGCTTTGAGACTACAGGAGTTTGAGTTTATTCTGGAGTATCGTAAGGGGAAGCTTAATAGCGCCCCAGACGCTTTGTCTCGGATTGACGTTCCTGATTCTTGTCCAATGGTAGCTTCCTATGTTCCTAAGCAAAGTACAGAGAGTATAGTGTCACTATTTCCTCTTTGTGATGAGGATATCTGGATTGCACAGCAACAAGATGTAGAAATCCAAAGGATATATCAGAGCTTAGCAGAAGGAAAGCAGAGTGATGAGGGATCTGGCTCTGAGTTTGTCATTTTAGAGGATAAGGTCTATAGGAAGGTGTCTAATCCTACAAAGGGAACTCATTTTCAGATTTATGTTCCACAGACTCTCAGAGAAATTTTGTTGGAGGCATATCACTCCAATCCATTGAGTGGTCATTTTGGGCGTTATAAAACTCAAAAAAGGTTAATGCAAGTTGCCTTTTGGCCTAATATGTGGAGAGATGTATCTGACTTTGTGAAGAACTGTACTAGTTGTCAGCAGAATAAACCAGAGTGTCGTAAGCCTGCTGGAAAACTTCAGCAAACTGAAGTGAAGGAGCCTTGGGAAATGCTTGGTGTGGACCTTATGGGGCCACTGCCTCGTAGTACCCTGGGTAACACTCAATTGTTAGTTGTTGTGGACTATTACAGTCACTGGGTTGAGATGTTTCCTCTTCGCAAAGCTACTGCTGGAGTGATTGCCCAGACACTTAGGAAGGAAGTACTGACTCGATGGGGTGTTCCAAAGTTCCTACTATCTGACAGGGGACCTCAATTTACATCTGAGATTTTGAAGGATCTGTGTAGCAGATGGGGAGTGGTACAAAAATTAACAACAGCATATCATCCCCAAACTAATTTTACGGAACGTGTGAATCAGGTAATTAAAGTCATGATCTCCTCTTATGTGTTTGGTGAGCATAATCGGTGGGATCATTACTTACCAGAGTTGAGATATGCCATCAACTCTGCTGTTCAGGAGAGTACTGGATACTCCCCAGCAGAGTTGTTATTGCACAGAAATCTGAGAGGACCTTTTGAACTTGTGTTAGAGCCTCACCAGACTGGTCTTAGGGTTCTTAAAGACTTGCAGGAAGTGGTAAAAAGAAATGTGCGTAGGGCTAAGGAAAAACAGAAGCGTTTGTATGATACGAGACGAAGAGATGTGCATTTCACAAGAAATGATAGAGTTTGGATGAGAGCACATCCTCTTTCTAAGGCTTCTCAAGCATTTGCAGCTAAATTCGCAGCTAGATGGATTGGGCCTTATCGAATTGTGGAAAAGCTTGGTCCGGTGAACTACCGGATTGTTCGGGAGGATAATGGGGAAGATTTACGTACAGTTCATGTATGCAATTTAAAACCTGCATTCCCCTCCGCAGGGGAATTAGATCGTAGAGAGAGAGAAAGGGTCCTGAAAATTTTTGTCGAAGAGTCAGAAGATGAGGAATTTCTCGGATTTGAATAGTCCTGAGATCCAGTAATCACTTAACTGATTTCCATATTTATAGATCAGATTATTTGGTGAGTAGAGTTATTGGTATGGAAAGCTGTTGAGTGTCTTTTTATTGCTGCATAATTTTTAGGTCTTAAAAAACCCCTAAAGATTTCTTGTAAGTAACTTATAGATCACAACCTCTTTAAGTTTGACTGATCTTTTTCCATGGGGGGGAGAGTGTGACGATCGTCATTAGAATTTTCCTTATTATTGTATGAGTGACGTCTGATTGGGTTACTGCTGTCAGCTGATGCAACATTATTTAGAGCGCCTTGGATGGGTTTCTCGCTCTCTCTCATTCATTCCTTATCACGCAGTCAGCATGCAGGTGATTCCGGGTCACTGAGAGGTCATGCTGACGGAGTGTGTGTGTGTTGAGAGCGCACTGCGTACTTGTTGCTTTGAGTCCGTTTTTTGTAGCTCAATATGTGTTTTCGTGCTGCGTGGTCTTGCTCTGAGGTAGTGGCAGTGTTCTTTGAAGTTGGTCACGGCATCGAAAGTGCGAGTATGTTTTTGATGCGGACGTTGAAGCGGCAACATTTATGAATGGAAGAGTTTATGATTTTGGCGGAGGTTGTATTTGCGATGCATGGTGAACGTATTATGCGCTCGGGTTTGTTTGTGGAGTGAGGCGCGGGTTTATTTTGTTTTTTGGCGCTCGAGTTGCCTATTTGTTTTGGGTTTTTTCTTTCTTTTTGTTTGAATGTTTGATCACTATCGTGATCGGGATTTGTGTTGCTGTTTTCTGGGCCCAGTAGCATCGACGGGTGATCGGGTAAGCAAATGTTTCTTCTTTGATTTATATTGTTTTGGTTAACTTGTATATGTGTATGTATGTCCAAAAGATTTAATGAGATGGTAGAGTAACCATATGAATGTGCATTGCGTTCACGATTGCTTCAACGTGCACAAATGGAAAATCTACTTTAGCGTATACGAATTGAGAGACATTTCAAGTGCATTGATTACCCGTTTACTTCAGCGTGCACAAATGGAAAATCTACTTTAGCGTTTACGAACTGAGAGACATTTCAGAGTGCATTAATTACCCGATTACTTCAGCGTGCACAAATGGAAAATCTACTTTAGCGTATACGAACTAAGAGACATTTCAAGTGCATTGAATGTGCAATTGATTCAGCGTGCACAAATGGAATATCTACTATGTGTAAAGTGTACAACTGAGTTCTATAAGTTCTTGAATGTGTGATTGATTTGATTTGAACTTAAAATATTATGTTTGTGGGAATTTGATTAATATTGGTTGTTGTATATTTAGAAGTGGTTTATTTGATTTATTTCTTTATGGTTGGTTGATGTATCACCCGTTGATGGTTTTGTTTGTAAAAGGTAATTAAAAGGTATTGTGCCTGGGCCTGGAAATTTAAGTTTGTTTGGTTTATAGATTTACTTACAATGTGTTGAAGTTAAAGTTTGTTCTTTTTGTTTTCTTCTTTATTAATTCATTGATCTGTTGCATGATTGAATATCTGATTTGGTTTTTATTAAATCATGCATCTGTTGAAACTTAAATTTTCATTTAATTGAATTATTTAAGAAACTGTAGTGGGGTCTTTCAACCCCTGGCGCCCAACCCACTTTATTAGCCAAATACCGCTACATAATTATGTTCTAGTTAATTGAAATTATGAAAATAAATGTTAAACTCTTATTTTTCAGTGCTTTCTAAACGCATTACTGTTTTCATCCTGTGCATTCTCTAATTTGATTGCACTTTCCTAATAAGTTTTTTAAAGATATAATTTTAGGTTTATATCATGAATATTCTGGTAATATTTTCTCTTTTTTTCAGTACTGACCTCCATCCAGCCCTAATTAAGTACAGCAGCGGAACCAGCTGATCAAGATCACCAAGATTACAGAAACTGCAGGTAAGTTACAGTAGTGTGTGTTGCAGCTAAATTCTGTAAAACAGTGGACATCAAGGTCACACTGCTGACTCTGAGACATCCTGGAATATAGATTAGCTAGTAAGCACTGTTTAAGTACTAATATAAGTTTTAATGCATAATATGTACAAAATTCATTGCATTCAGTAATATTTTCTCTTTTCCTCTTTTGTTTAAATGCAGATAAACATAAATCCACCCAGGCAGAGGTTTGCTGCTTCTATTTCTGCACATACAGGTACGTGTTTTGGCTGACTTTCAGAAATATAATTATTTAAAAATAACATATATTTAAGTGTAATTAAATTAGATTAGTTAAATTAGTTCACCTAATAATTAAAATTAAATGTGTGTGGATGTTTCCCAGAAATGGGTTGTGGCTGAAAGGGCATTCGCTGCATAAAAAACTAGCTGGAAAAGCTGGCAGTTCATTCCGCTGTGGCGACCCTGAATTGATAAATAAACAAAGCCAACTAGAAAATGAATCAATGAATGAATAATAATTAAAATTGTCATTAATTACTCACCTGAAACTGTGGGGTGAGTAATTGTCATGATGGTGAGTAATTAATAACATTTTTTTGAGGGCAAACTAATCATTTAATAATGCAACAACTTAAAGTCAATTACAATTTCTTAAAGGGATTGTTCATGCAAAAGTAAAATATATATTTGTGTGATTTACTTGCAACCTGTTTATTATGAGCTCATTCATTTGCTACATATAATGTTGCAAGTAGAAAAAAGAGAAAACAGCAACTTTTTTTGTTTCAAATGTAAAAAATGCAGACATAGAGTTGCAAGTTTAATCTTAAATATATCCCTCATTATGTTGATAAGTTAAGTTGTAATTCTTTGAAGTATTGTTTTTTATTTGTTTCAACATTTAGTCTGATGTTGTGGTTTGGATCTTGCTTCTACTGCTTTTTTGAAAAGTTGTTTTTGAAAATAATATTACAGTATGCTGTAGCAATCATTAACAAAGAGTTGTAAATACTATAATATACACTCACTGGACACTTTATTAGGTACACCTTACTAGTGCCGGGTTGGACCCCCTTTTGCCTTCAGAATTGCCGTAATCCTTCGTGGCATATATTCAACAAGGTACTACAAATATTCCTCAGAGATTTTGGTCCATATTGACATGATAGCATCACAGAGTTGCAGCAGATTTGTCCGCTGCATATCCATCATGGGAATTTCTCATTCCACCACATCCCAAAGATGCTTTTGTTGAATTGAGATCTGGTGACTGTGGAGGCCATTTGAGTACAGTGGACTCATTGTCATGTTCAAGAATCCAGTTTGAGATGATTGACGCTTAATGACATGGCGCGTTATCCTGCTAAAAGTAGCCATCAGAAAATGTGTACACTGTTGTCTAAAAGGATGGACATGGTCAGCAACAATACTCAGGTAGGCTGTGGCATTGGCATGATGCTCAATTGGTACTAATGGGCCCAAAGTGTGCCAAGAAAATATCCCCCACACCATTACACCACCAGCAGCAGCCTGAACCGTTAATACAAGGCAGGATAGATCCATACTTTCATGTTGTTGATGCCAAATTCTGACCCTACCACTCGAAAGCCGCAGCAGAAAGTCAGACTCATTAGACTCAGCAACGTTTTTCCAATCTTTCATTTTCCAGTTTTGGTGAGCCTCTGCAAATAGTAGCCTCAGTTTCCTGTTCTTAGCTGACAGGAGTGACACCCTGTGTGATCTTTTGCTGCTGTAACTCTTCCACTCTTCCGCCTCAAGGTTCGACGTTTTGTGCGCTCAAAGATGCTCTTCTGCATACCTGGGTTGTATTCAACTCAATTCAGCTTTATTTGTATAGCGCTTTTACAATGTAAATTGTGTCAAAGCAACTTCGCATAAATGGTCATAGTAATTGGATCAGGGTAGTTCAGTTTTTAGTGTTTAAGTTCAGTTCAGTTTAGCTCAGTTCAGTGTGATTTAAAATCATTACTGAGAGTCCAAACACTGAAGAGCAAATTCATCGATGGGTAGCTCTACCGATCCCAAACCATGCAAGCTAGAGGCAACAGCAGAGAGGGAAAAAAACTTCACCTGATAGGAGTGAAGAAAAAAAACCTTGAGAGAAACCAGACTCAGTTGGGCAAGACCATTTTAATTTCTCCGCTGGCGAAACATCTTGTGCGGAGCTGCAGTCTCAGCGGCGGATGCTGAAAGCTGGCCTCAGCGAAGACTCGTCTGTCCCTGGAGGGTCACTGGAATCAGTCTCATGTTCTCTACTCCTCCATGACCACTACAGCAGCTGCTCAGGATACGGCCTGGTCAAGGATATGGAAACCTTGGGATCATCTCGTCGCTGGTCTTGGATCCAATCAGTGACTCCACATAGTCTGAGGGCCTCGGGATGAGTATCCCCAGGTGGAAATGGAGAAAAAAATAAAACAATTAGTGTAACTGGTGTTCATAATGTGAGGATCCTATCAATCATGGTTATGACCGACAGATCCAGATATCAAAGTAAGTTTTATTGATTTAATTGAAAGATTTTTTTTACCTTATCCTTATTTTTTTTACCTCATCCTTATTGTCTTAATGGAATATTGCCTTTTTCTTTTTACAAAAGGTTTTTTTTTTTTTTTTTTTTTACAATTCTATAATGTTGACTATAATGTTCAGGTGAGTGCATATAAAGGTGAGTGGTCAGAGGTATAGTGCAAAAAGGAACAGAAGTTGTCGATGCTGTCATACAACCCCATAGCTTTGTTTTATACACAAAATGCAGCCATACGTACGTAGCCCAGGGCAAATATTTCGCGGTTCTCAAATATGTAGCCCTGGGCACATATTTATATTTATATTCATTGGTTTTGACAGTTGTCATTGACCCACCTATAGCACTTTTCTATTGCATAGTATGGACCTTCTGGTATGTGTAGGCGTTCACACATCGTAACCTTTTAATTTCCATTTACATCTGTTCTGCATAAATCCATGCTTATAGATTTCTAGTACTTTCCCTTGCTTTCGCTTTCAATCATGGAAAGCCCCTTACATGTCCAACTGAGACACGCTTGTTCAATTAGTTTTTAGAGGTTTGATTACATGTTGTTTACAACTTGTTTAACTGGATATTGATTATAATTAAATATAAAAAGAAATACATAAAAAACAACACTCACTCCAACTTTGTGCCCACCCATTTGCTTCCATCCTGCTGGAATATAATATGGAGATGTGAAATTGTGATGTGTTGCAACATGTTACAAATGTTGTACACGTAACAGTTTTAAAAGTGACAGAAAACCAGAAGCATATTTATAATCTCAAATCAATTGTTCTTGTTCTAACTCTCTAAAATTGTACTGTAATCAACAGCGCTGCACCTCATATTCAGGATGAGGAAAAAAGACAGAGGTTTCCCAACATAATAATATATGCCTACAAATAGTTTTACTATAGACGTATGTTAATATAATGATGAGAAAAAAGCTCAAGGCAGGAATCGAACTCAAGATGCCGTAATATCCATAGTGCAATAATATGTTGATGCACTAACCACCAAGCTATTGATGATATAACATATCACCAACATGATATAACTTATCAAAAAATAGAAAAATAGAAAAATAGAAGAAGAAAAATAAAATAAAAAAATAGAAATGAACTCTGTGTGGAAGCTAGTCCCCTCCAATTCATATACTACATATACTGCACATAATATAGCCACCAACACTTAAAACAAAGCGCATATATTGCCATTCAGTAAAGCTGTATTTCTGTTTTTTATGCTGTCTCAACATGGTGTCATACACCAGTAGACTTCATATTGGTATGGATGGGATATTAAATGGAAAAATGTATGGCAGCTTATAGTTAATATAGTTATATCAGATATTGATGTTCTTTTTTATTGCTAAATAATTGTCATATAATAAATGATTATTTCTCAAGTTCTCTCTCATTCTCTGTCCGTTAGACACCCCTACAGTTTAGTGAAAATGAAACTCGACACTTTTTCCGTTTGCGCGGGCTTGACTTGGTGGCTTTGCACTTCTTGCTTTCTGCTTTCAACAGAACACACTGTTTTTAATCTCTTCATATTCTGTCTGTTTGTGCAGTAAAATGGCAGAATCCAGTGTTTCTTTGGCTCAGGAGGATCAGTTCAACTGTTTAATCTGTCTGGATCTACTGAAGGATCCAGCGGCCATTCCCTGTGGACACAGTTTCTGTATGAGCTGTATTTCGGGCTATTGGGATCAGGATGAGCAGAAGGGAGTCTACAGCTGCCCTCAGTGCAGACAGACCTTCACTCCAAGACCGGTTTTAGGTAAAAACTTCATACTGACTGAAGTTGTGGAGAATATCAGGAAGACAAAACTACAAGCTGCTCGTCCTGCTCAGTGTTACTCTGAACCTGTAGATGTGGAGTGTGATGTTTGTACTGGGAGAAAATATAAAGCTGTCAAGTCCTGTCTGGTGTGTCTGGATTCTTACTGTCAGATTCACTTTGATCGTCACGAGGAATTTCACTCTAAAAAGCCACACATAGTGACTGATGCCACTGGACGACTGCAGGAGATGATCTGCCCTCAACATGAGAAACTACTAGAAATGTACTGCAGGACTGACCAGCGCTGTATT